GATTTGATTTGATTTGATTTGATTTGATTTGATTTGATTTGATTTGATTTGATTTGATTTGATTTGATTTGATTTGATTTGATTTGATTTGATTTGATTTGATTTGATTTGATTTGATTTGATTTGATTTGATTTGATTTGATTTGATTTGATTTGATTTGATTTGATTTGATTTGATTTGATTTGATTTGATTTGATTTGATTTGATTTGATTTGATTTGATTTGATTTGATTTGATTTGATTTGATTTGATTTGATTTGATTTGATTTGATTTGATTTGATTTGATTTGATTTGATTTGATTTGATTTGATTTGATTTGATTTGATTTGATTTGATTTGATTTGATTTGATTTGATTTGATTTGATTTGATTTGATTTGATTTGATTTGATTTGATTTGATTTGATTTGATTTGATTTGATTTGATTTGATTTGATTTGATTTGATTTGATTTGATTTGATTTGATTTGATTTGATTTGATTTGATTTGATTTGATTTGATTTGATTTGATTTGATTTGATTTGATTTGATTTGATTTGATTTGATTTGATTTGATTTGATTTGATTTGATTTGATTTGATTTGATTTGATTTGATTTGATTTGATTTGATTTGATTTGATTTGATTTGATTTGATTTGATTTGATTTGATTTGATTTGATTTGATTTGATTTGATTTGATTTGATTTGATTTGATTTGATTTGATTTGATTTGATTTGATTTGATTTGATTTGATTTGATTTGATTTGATTTGATTTGATTTGATTTGATTTGATTTGATTTGATTTGATTTGATTTGATTTGATTTGATTTGATTTGATTTGATTTGATTTGATTTGATTTGATTTGATTTGATTTGATTTGATTTGATTTGATTTGATTTGATTTGATTTGATTTGATTTGATTTGATTTGATTTGATTTGATTTGATTTGATTTGATTTGATTTGATTTGATTTGATTTGATTTGATTTGATTTGATTTGATTTGATTTGATTTGATTTGATTTGATTTGATTTGATTTGATTTGATTTGATTTGATTTGATTTGATTTGATTTGATTTGATTTGATTTGATTTGATTTGATTTGATTTGATTTGATTTGATTTGATTTGATTTGATTTGATTTGATTTGATTTGATTTGATTTGATTTGATTTGATTTGATTTGATTTGATTTGATTTGATTTGATTTGATTTGATTTGATTTGATTTGATTTGATTTGATTTGATTTGATTTGATTTGATTTGATTTGATTTGATTTGATTTGATTTGATTTGATTTGATTTGATTTGATTTGATTTGATTTGATTTGATTTGATTTGATTTGATTTGATTTGATTTGATTTGATTTGATTTGATTTGATTTGATTTGATTTGATTTGATTTGATTTGATTTGATTTGATTTGATTTGATTTGATTTGATTTGATTTGATTTGATTTGATTTGATTTGATTTGATTTGATTTGATTTGATTTGATTTGATTTGATTTGATTTGATTTGATTTGATTTGATTTGATTTGATTTGATTTGATTTGATTTGATTTGATTTGATTTGATTTGATTTGATTTGATTTGATTTGATTTGATTTGATTTGATTTGATTTGATTTGATTTGATTTGATTTGATTTGATTTGATTTGATTTGATTTGATTTGATTTGATTTGATTTGATTTGATTTGATTTGATTTGATTTGATTTGATTTGATTTGATTTGATTTGATTTGATTTGATTTGATTTGATTTGATTTGATTTGATTTGATTTGATTTGATTTGATTTGATTTGATTTGATTTGATTTGATTTGATTTGATTTGATTTGATTTGATTTGATTTGATTTGATTTGATTTGATTTGATTTGATTTGTTTTCTCTTTGTCATTGCAACTTGCCAGTTTCCACTTTTGAGGTCCAAGGTGGAAAACCATTTGGAACCCGATAGAGTTGTTAATGTATCATCTATCGTCGGAAGAGGGAAGCTGTCCTTCTTGGTGACGTCATTAAGCTTAGGGTAGTCCACACAAAATCTTAAACTTCCATCTTTCTTTTTAACCAATACTACTGGCGCAGACCATGGACCATTTGACTCTTCAATAATTCCCTCTTGAAGCATTTTATCAATTTGGTTCTCCACTTCCTGTTGTTTAGCTACTGGCATACGTCGTGGTGGTTGTCTAATTGGGTGTGCCAATCCAGTATCAATTTTGTGTTGAATGAAGCTGGTCCGTCCGGTTTGATTTTCCATCACAAATACGTCTGCTTCTTTCAAGATGAAATCTGTGGCTTCTTGAAGTCTATCTGGATGGAGGCGTTTCCACGATTTCTCCAAAGTCTGCATCAAGGTGTTTGTATCCAATTTCGATTTTTCAAAATGTCGCTTGTCTGGTAGGTCACAGTTCGATATTTGCTTACCTGGTTCGAGAGTTCCAATAATATCTCCTTCTTTTATTTTTACTGTTTCAGAAGAAACATTGGCAATTCTTATCATAATGTCTCCATTTGTTCTTACTAGAGTCTTTCCAACGAGAAATCTTTCTGGTTTATCTCCACTAAAATTATGTGTTAGTCCAACGCAGCACCCAGGGTTTCTTTCCAATTTTCCGCAAATGATCTTCTCAGTAATTCTAGGCCAGGATCTTAACGGCTTGGGATTCATCTTGTGTAGTTAGGGCAAATTCTTCATTACCAAATTTGTTGGCCGATCAAATCAATTCCCAAAATAAAATAATCTTCTATATTGGCGACTAATGTTCTGTGCCTAAAGGTGGTAGATCCAAAAGTAAGCTTAACAATAGCTTCTCCTTGAACTGGTGCTGATTCGCACGTGACTGTTCGTAGTGACAGGTTTCTAGTGAGCGGTTGGATTGCGCGAGACTTGACTAATGTTCTTATAATGATAGAAGCTTCAGCACCATTATCAAAAGTAATGGTTTTAAATTATCCATTAATTTTTCCTTCGAATTTCAATCCTCTATAATGACTGCCCAATGATTTTATGTAAACAACCCTGGGGCCTTCGTCATTACTAGCCAGCATCCACTCCTCCGTACTAGTTAGTTCCTGTCCGTTATTAGAGCTGGCATATGACACCGGTAACATTCTACTCGGTTTCTCGATATTGGTGTTTGTCTGGAGTTGTTTCTCGTTTGACTACCTCCTAGTAATAGTTGCTCCATTTTCTCCATGAACGTACTCATAAAATTCTTGAAGCTACCATCTTCTTTTGCCGATTGGTTATCCTTTGGGTTTTCAAAGGATACTGCTCGCATTCTGGGTAGTTAGGCACCGAAGATTGCTTCCAGTTCCAGTGCTCGGACAAAGGTTTCGCTACTTTTTCCGAACTTAGACATTCTCAGGTTTTCCTTGAGTTCTCAATACTTCTTGTCTGTAATGGTCTCCGAATCGCAATTCTAATGTCTGACTTAGATGCTGGTAATTCTGTTGGTATATTGAAGGATTGGACTGAAGAAGATCTAAGGCAGGTCCTCGTAGCGCCACTATCACTGCTGTTGCTTTTTCTTGATCGTTCCATCCGTTGGTATTTGCAGCAGCTTCAAATTGTCGGATATACATGGTCCAGGACGTAGAGCCGTCAAAAGTTGGTGGTTTTACATAACACATCGATGAAGTCACAAATTCGATATCTCCCTTGGTTTCCAAATAAAATTTTCTAGAACTTACTTAAAAATTCACTATCACAGTCAAAATCGGGTATAGAGTCACTTCTGGGGTAATTTACACGATCAGTTAAGTCTTTTTTGGTAATTGTCACTGCTTACACTGACTCACTGTCCCAGTGTTCACTTAGTGTCCATACACTTGTGTCCGCAGTAGTCCGCACTATTCTGCAATCGGATTTCACTTTGCAGTCCTCAAATTATATCTCACACCAATGTCACGGCTCTGAACTGCGCGACAGAGATCTTGGGTTCGTTTATTCCAAAATCAAAGTCCAATTAACACAACAATAATTTATTTCATGTTACTACACACTCTGACACTAATTAACTCAAACAACTTAACTCTTTACAACTTTTAGAATAATCACTTATCTAAAACATATCACAGCCAATTTTGAACTTGAAACTACGAACTAATACCGGCCTTTATATATCCGTTATCTATTCGTGTAGAATCCAGAATAAACGCGATAATCTTTTTCCCCGAATAAAGCCAGTATTTATATGTTATTCCCCCAGGGAATAATGACGAGTAGCGGGATTAATGGTCATTATTCCTCAAAAGTGTCAGTGTCAAACGTGTAATGCTTATGAATTCGTATTGAGGTGGATGAAATTTGTTAATTAAAAATCTCAAATAAATTAATTTTTCGTAAATAAAGTAGAGTATACTACTCGCAATAATTCCTCGGGAATAATAGCTATCATTATTGACTCGTGGTATAATCTACTATTATCTCGCATTTTCAGGTACCTAGTACTGATTTTTCACCTAGATTGTACTAGTCAAATCGACATAATTAAAGGACCACTTTCAATAATTCCTTTATTTAAATAAAATATCCGATTACAATATTTTTTTTTTGTGCGCATTTTATTGATTTATCTATATTGTCAATAAATGGAAATAAACACTTTACCACAGTTATCCAAAATTTAATAAAAATAAATGTGTTTTTAAAAGTGGTCCTTATTTCGGTTTAACTTTTATTTTCCTAGTTGTAGGTATTTATCGTTTACCTTTCTTCGTTTATAGATTTTAATTCATATTCAGTAGTAGCACGTATAGTGCCAAAGAAATCAGTCTAATAACCAAGTCCAAAAGAAAAACTCAACGTCTTTCTCGACAAATAGCTCATATATTGACAGGGGTGAATATCATAGGCTACCAGAGCATGCTACAAAAACAAAAATCATTTATTTTTTTCGAAACATGTAGGACTTTTTAAAACTATTAAAGTGGATTTGGAATTAAATTTCAACTCCACTTTGAGCTATGGACTACTTCTAAATATTAGTTATTATAAATTACTTACCAGTCAGCATAAATCCAAATACAGAGAAAAATACCGGAACTTCTAGTGTCAACTTGTAGCCCATTTTGATGTTTTTTTTTTCTAATAAACACACTGTAGACTGAAAATTATTAAAACTGTTTATTAATAATATGGAGTACATAGGTTTTTTTATAAAACGAGTTTTGAAAGGCACATTAATAATACTTTTTCAACCTACTTTTCTATTTCTTTCTTTGTAAATTATGTTTTTCTATTGATTTGTATTTTATGTATATGATGATATTATTTACATTATGTAATACATGATGTTGAAAAATCTTCTTTTGTGTACGATTTTTGATGCTTTTCTTTTCAAAAAACCGTATGACTGTAATTAAAATAATAAACACAACAAAAAATACTCACATTATTGATTATTATCGAACTACATATTAATATGTATACGATTCTGTTATCTAAACGAATCTCTAATGATAATCAATATAATGTTGACACTAGCATTTTTGATAAAATTAATAACAAATGTTCAATCACTTTTATTGCCACATTACAGAAACAAATAATAATTTCGACAGAGTCGAAGTCGAGAGCAATTTATCATTGTGTGTAATTATACTTTTGTATCTTTATGGTACGGCATTTTTTTTACATTTTCAAGGTGGGTGAGTTACATGATGTTTCTGCGCATTTACTGCCATATACCAATGCTATTGAAATTCGTTTAAATTATTTGACTTGAACTTGAAGAAACAATGAACAATGTATTTGGAGTGCAGGTAGCTGCTCTTATTATTTTTCAAGAAAATTAAGTAGCAAATTTGCAACTTGAGCAAATCGTTAGCAAAAAAATGGCCAATGTTTCATCAACTTACTTCGACCCTTAAGATAATTATGAAAGACTGCAATAAAATAAGACAAAATTATTGTTTCGAAAAATTGATTTGAAATGGTTACGTGCACGTCATGGAAAAACTCCACACATGTCACAAATTGAAAAATTCGTTTGGTATATTCAATGCAACCAAAGTCAATGCGTCCTCAGCAAAGTCCTCATGCTTTGAAGCTCGCGGGAAGTTAGGGCCTTTTGGCTTTTAGTGATGCCAGTGATAAGTATGCGAAAGTTGAAAAAAGCGGAAATGTTATCAGAAAAAATAATTTGATTTGAAAAACAAGGTGTTTTTCGATTTTGGTTAAAACGTTAGATAGGCTTTAATTAGAGTCTCCCCAGAGTTTCTTATTTATCATTCCCCCACCCTTGATATCTGTTCTGAACCCTGCCATTCTTCAGCGAAATTCTAATTTCTTAGTGATAACAGGGGGGAAAGTTTCGAAAAAAACTTCTAATTTTTTTATACACAAATAATGTCCTATAACGTCTTCCGACAATCTCGGTCTCCTACAAGCCTCCACTTCTCCAGCTATAGCTTCTTCCAGACATATCGTGTCTTCTTATTCCCAATTTTTCCTCTGGTTCCCACTTTATATTCGTTTGACTCGTATCGTATCTGCCATTGCTTGAACATCTCCGAACCAAATCAGTTATTTGTCTTCGATATCATTACTATACCTATTATGTGTCTTACCTTTCAGTTGGTTCCAGCATTTTTGCGATTCTGTCCTTCACTGGGCAGTCCTTGCATATTCCGAACTTAATTACCCCGACTAGGGCTCCCTCATGCGAGATTATCATTAATTTATTATCAAATATTTGTAAACGTTAGATAGGTCTTCACCCGAAAATAAAACCACCCGATCTCAAAAATCCCGTTTATTCGTTATTTTATTTTATAAGTCGCCTTCTCGTAAATAATGTTTTTTCAAGACTGGTGCCGTCTGGATCCTCGTTGACCTGGGTTGCCGTCCCTTTGATCCCCTACCCGCGCCGTCTGTTTTCCCAACCCAAAGCTCGGTTCCTCTACCCTTGCAGCTTGCAGGTATAGCGTGACAAAAGGGGTGTTTTTCGGTGGTTCTTGTATTTAGAATATTACCGCTTACACGGCCATCCTGTTCTCCAAGCGTCTTCGCTTATCGCAACTAATAGACCTATTCAAATTAGAATAATTCTGTTACGCATGCGCGAAACATTGTTGCCAATTGACCTCAATCACGCTATACAGGAAAAAATCATGAATAATTTCGATTTCATCAGAACTAAGAGTCATTTTCTTTATTATCAACATATTATTTGATTCAGCCGAGGACTCAAGCTATTTATTAAAAAGATATATTGATGGTCATTTTGTGAATTGTTTTTTTTTTAAACCTAACGCGCTTTAATTAATTTGTACAAGCCGGCCACATCGCACAATTTCACTGTCATTTCAATCAACTGATTATTGTTTTGCGGTCTATGTTACACGTTTTTGCATGGGCAAATATTAGAAAAAACCTGTTTAAAAATGAGTTAAAGCGATGGGGCACACAAATATTGTGTTTTTGGAAAGTGCAATACTGACAGCAGAGTTGGAAGACCCGGATATTCCGAGGGATTAATTTTTTACGCTTTCCCCAGCCATGTCTTCAGCTGAGAAAATCAGATTTGTTCAAAAAGGCAGATCTTAAAAAACATATTTCACAATGTAAACAGTGTGAAACTTGTTACAACTGGGTGAGAAGTTGCAAGAGAAGTGACAGATTTATTTTTACATCCTGTGCCTTTTACACCACGACAACATAAAAACCTTTTAAGTTCTAATACGCTATTTTTCACCACAATCTCATTACGTAAAATCGCACCCGGCACATCTGTGATCTGCTGCTGATAATTTAACTTTTTTTAAAGGAATTTGGGCCATTTTAAATTGAAAAAGGTATTAATTACAACTTTTTTATAGTACTTGCTATACTTTTTGGACCGCAAAACAAACATTCAACATAATCCCACTTATTTGACGCAAGCGCGTTGTGGAACTTGAAAAGGTCTATTGGCGAATTCTATCTAAAATCACAAAATAGGGAAGCAGAGTTTATGTTAACAATAATTTTATTAAAATTTTCGTTTTTTGATATTTTTTTCCATTTTTTTTTTAAGTTAGTGAGATTGTCACTATCAATTTATGTACAAAATTTTTGAAGTTTATCTCAAGGTTGAGGACAACCACCTATTTAAAATATTATTTCTTTGAATCTTAACTTTTTAAAAAACGTTTACTGAATAAAAGTAAATCTTGCAACCATGTAATCCTCTGTGGAATTGATGAGAACGAGAGCGCGCTGCAACAGAAAGGTACCGAACAGAATGGGAGATAGAGAATACGCAACTAGAATAGAGAACAAGCTGGGGCTGGTCCCTTAGACGCGTGTCGCGTTTCTGTAATTATTCATTATTCAATTTTTATTATTATTTTGCGTTAAACTGATTGTTCAATCCAATTTGTTATTGGTGTGTGTGTCAAGGAGCATAGGTCAGTTGAATAATTGGGATTTTGTTTTTGAGAGTTCAATTTTTTCATTTGTTATGTTTTTTTTGTTTGTCTATAACATTTTTTATAACATTGCACACTTGCCGCTTCTCGAGCGTGATAGGACATTTCCTTGCGAGTGCGCATATCCGTAAAAAAAAAAAACATGTGCTTTGTTCATGTATTTAACAAAAATCGTTTCATGCTGTAAACAACACAGATAAAGAAGTAAATTAAAAACCTAAGAAATTATATGCTGTCTTTTTGTGCTGAGATTTTGATTTTGTGTATTCAGAACGCGCATTAGGGCCTTGTTGAATTTACTAACATTTTCCTACCCTGACGAGCGAATATCCTACCAAATAAAGGAAAGAGATATTGGCTCAAAATAACAACTATAGCTGGGTAGCATCCCGTATGGGACCTCAGTACCCTCCGGCAGACCGGCTAACTAACCAAAAACTCTTCAGTATTGATTATAGGTAGTGTTGATTAAATGTAGTGTGTGTAATTAAAATTTTAGCACAACAACAGGGGCGGTATCTAGTTTCAACTTTTATTGAATTAATGACTCACAATTATTATTAAAATGACACAGTATGTTTGGATTTTTGAGGAATGTTATATCGAGGGTTTCTCTGCCGTGCTCTTTCCCCTCGTTAATTCCAGGATGAGAACGGTACGATTTACTTTAATAATGAAGTAGAGGTTTCGCAAATTTTTCGTTTCTTTTACATATCACAACTTTCCTTAAATTTCCCAAATATTTGCTATGTCGGGCGCATGTCCAGTAAGTAAAATTGAGTAAATTTCCCCAACTAACCATCCTATTTGTTTTTCATTTCGTTTTTCAGAAGATTTGTTGTTCAAAAGGTAATCAAAATTCACACCGTTCAATCTTACTGAACGAACCCGGGTATGTGATACTACAAATCAAATAATGAAATGACCAAAAATATACTATATTCAACGATTTATGCGAAGTGAATGGCGGACGGAGCAGCGTTCCGTTCGATTCTATCATAAGTAGCACAGCTAAGCAACGAAAAAAATAGGTAGGTAGTGATTCCAGGCAAGCCACTTCAGGAACTGCGGTGACTAGTGAGGAAGGGGATTTTCTGGCGTTGGAATAATTTTAGCAGTGTTTTTATTGAATATAGGTCCCATTGAAGAAATGGAAAGGATAATTAGGCAACTGATAAGTGTTTTTCATGATGGTGAGAATAGTGGTATTCAATGTAAGAAACTAATAATTCACTTTACCTTATCCTTCATTGAAATGAAAACTATGAGTATTGAAAGAAACAGAGACTATTCTTATTTCGTTTATTCCAGATTTTTGGTAAAAGCATTTATAACTTTTGATATAATTGAATTTTATATTCAACCAAATATAAATAGTGAATATTACCTTTATTAGTTAAGGCTTTCAATACAATATTTTCTAAGATTTTGAAGAAAGTGCACATTGTCATTAGTTTAAATATATCCATATCCAGTAACAACGTGGCAACGCTGCAAGTATTATTGTTTAGAAGTCTCAAAGATAGTGCTTAAAATCAAAGTTTTTAGACAAATTAATTTTGAGAAAAGAAGTTTAAAGAGCTTTGCTGATGGTTATGAGGATGAGATATAAGTGAAAGTAGTGAATTCGGTGCTGTAAAAATATCATAAAATCGGCAAAAGCAAACGACTTTGTGATCAGCTGGCGCTGGCG